GGTCACGGCGTGGCTGCTTCACGGTAGCCAGGGTACAGGCACGTTGGCGCGGCAACTTTGAAGTTGGCTCATAAAAGGGTCACGCAGTTAAATGTGCATGCACAGTCGTCGTGGTATGACACTGTCACTACTACGGAGGGTATGTAGGTCAGGCCGGGGAGGGTGTGGGATTGGCGTGGAGTACAGCCAGCCCGACAACGATGACGTAAGAAGCGGCCACCAGAAGGGATGGGAGGGGTTCACAACATCAAAGTACCCTGACAGCAAAAAAATGTCGGAGCGTGATCGCTTTTGTATACTGTTTTATGAATTCCAGGCGTGTTACTGACATATTGCCTTGGCACATGCCACATACTACTGCTTACTTTGAATTAGCATAATAAACCTGCCCTGAAACCTACACGATCTCTGTAAATTGGGTCATAGACAGTACGCGGTTGAAGACAATCCAGGCGGTTTAGCCGAGGCCGAAGGACGGAGAAAAAAATCATAATTAAGCTTATTTGCTAACCTGGCTGGGAAGGCCTGCAAGTCTGCGGCACAAATGCAATTCTGTACCTCAGCAGGCGAACTTCATAAATCTCTCAGTTGTGCAAACTGCCCGATAGTATGCAAAACAAGGAATTGGGTGAAAAGTCCTCTAACTGATCGAATTACGAGGTCTACTCCTACCGTTGTGATTTGAAGCTCGATCTATAGCACCATAAACAGTAATTAGTATTATAAACAAAGGAGATTAGCGGCCAAGACAAAGGAGACGGGAATGACGATTTCTGGCTTATTAGGCATCATCCAAACTCCGTGGCCCCGCAAACCTGGCTGGCTAATGACGGCTCACAAACAGAAAAACGAGTCACTGCGGGAAAGATAGGTCGAGCTCGTTGTGAGAAAAATGAGCAGAAAGGTGGGAAGTATATGGAATAGTAGTGTAAGAAAAACATATAAAATAAGAGCTCTTTGAAGTATATGATGGGAAAGGACGGGAAAATGATAGAAGCATGGCAAAGTAGATCAGGAAGGGAAAGGAAAGAGAAGTAACGGATGAAACTGAAAGCGAAGGACTTACTGTCGGCGTCCTTGAAGACTAGCACGGGACTTTTACCGCCCAGCTCGAGGGTGATGCGTTTGGTGTTGACCTTGTTGGCGTTCTGTGCAACCAACTGACCAATCTCTGTGCTTCCCGTGAAGGCAATCTTGTCCACGTCCGGATGCAGGGTCAGAGCGGCCCCAGCAGTTGCACCGAGCCTAAAAAGGGTGGAAGCGGGAGAAGATGCGCGGTTAAATCGATTGTGAAGTGCTCACGTGGAGAAGCACCGTTTGATAGTTGACGGTTCAACTCACGTCGGGGTTAGCAAGCTGTAAGAAGTGAAATACCAAGTATAACTCAGGCTTCACAGTCACCAGGCCATGTTCCGGTTTTCAAAAGACAGTGCGCCCTTTGTGAATGAGCGTTCCGCACACAGGCATGGAGTTAGAAGGTTCGGGTTTACATAGCACAGTCTTGTAGTGACGCTACTCGGAAAGCAACGTTTGCCTCTCGTGCCCGCTAGCACTTGTGCATGTACCAGTGCCTGCCTACCAAAATCCGGTCTGACCAATCAACTCGCTGTAGCTGACTCACACATGATCGCGTTGTATACACAGCGATGACTCCCGCGCTCTCACACTTCGGACACCGCCCTCTGGGATGCGGGTGCATGCTCGTCTAGCTGCCAATTTCCTCCAATCTATTTACCACTGGTTCTGGCTTCCCATTACGGAACTGAGTCTTGAGATCGCGACGGCCAGGGTCATTCCTGTTAACTCAAGCCACCGCAATAGTCTGCTTTTAGTTGCCAACGTCTGAGAGAGCACACTCAGAACAAAAGTACTTTTGCGTAGAAATAACACCTTTCCGTACATAAAGGGTAAAGAATTTCGGCTTTAGGTCTTAATTCTATAATTTTTAAGGAGCTGCCAGGTGACAGTAATCCGCAAAGTAAGCTGATAGGATAAATGTTATACGGCAATAACGTTGAGTTAAAAATCATTGCTTCAATAACCGTAGCCGGACCCTTCTTTTGCGTACACAGTTAATTAGATCTCGTGGGCTGCAGCATCAGGTTTACAAACAATCA